CTACTTTTTCTGCAACAAAGACACAGATTGTTTGCCAAATGTCCTTATAGTTGGACAAAGATGTACCCCAGAAGGACGATTGCCAGACACAGACAAGGCTTCCAAAATTCTTAACTGGCCTATTCCTACCACTATCAAAGAAGCAAGAGGCTTCATGGGCCTTTGTGGAACTGTTCATATTTGGATATTAGGCTTTTCCGAATTAGCCAAGCCTATCACTCACCTCTGGAAGAAAGATGAGCCATTTATTTGGGGAGATGAACAAAATGATGCATTTGAGACGTTGAAAGAGAGGATTTGTTCAGCTCCAGCTATGCGAAGCATAGACTATGCCTCCCCAAATCCCGTGATTTTATCAGTTGATTCTAGCTTTATGGCTGTAGGAATTATCCTATCACAGATTGACGACAATGGAAAGCGTAGACCTGCATGCTATGGTTCTCTACCTATGGGAGACACCGAGTCATGCTATTCCCAGCCAAAACTAGAACTCTATGGTCTTTATCGTGCTCTTAGGCATTTCCGACTTCACATCATAGGTGTACAAAACCTTACTGTGGAGGTTGATGCTAAATACATCAAAGGAATGCTTAATGAACCAGATATTCAACCCAATGCGACAATTAACCATTGGATTCAAGGAATATTATTATTCGACTTCACTCTTGTTCATGTACCTGCCACCAAGTTTAAAGGTCCAGATGCCTTATCTCGGAGACCTTTGGCAGAGAACGAAGAGGTTATTCCTGAAGAAGATTCTTGGCTAGATGATATAGCCCTTTTCAATCACATATCCCCATCCTATCATCCAACTTCATTACCCTTAGTCCTAGCTTCTACTATCAGCCAAGAAGAAAGTTTGAAGAATATCTTCAAATTTCTTACTACACTAGAAGCACCTCATTTTGCTAGAACATCTCAAAGGAAAAAGTTTGTCCAACGGGCTACTCAATTTTTTGTCCGTGGTGGACAGATGTTCAAAGACAAGGAGATAGACCACCTTTGCTTGTTGTTTTTGCTATCAACAAGAGAGTGGTCATTCTCAATGAAGCACATAAAGGGCTAGGACACAAGGGAGTACAAGCAACCTTTGAGACCATACGCTACAGATTTTATTGGCCTCACTTGTACACGGATGTCAAACATCACGTGCAATCTTGTCATGACTGCCAGATTCGCAGTGTCAAGAAAATGCATATTCCCATTACAATATCTACCCCAGCAATGATATTTGTCAAGATCTATGTTGACATTATGAAAATGCCTTCAGTGAGAGGGTATTCAAATCTTGTCATTGCTAGAGATGATTTATCACGCTATGTTGAAGGCCGAGCTTTGCGAAAAGCATCTGCAAAAGCTATGGCTCAATTCTTTTGGGAAGATTTGTATTGTCGTTATGGTTCCATTGGTCAAGTTGTGACTGACAATGGACCTGAAGTTAAAGGAGCATTTGAGCAATTGCTCATGCATGTTGATATTCCCCAAGTCAAGATATCACCATACAATTCCCAAGCTAATGGAGTTGTTGAGCAGGGACATTTCAACATCTGAGAAGCTATTGTAAAAAGTTGTGGAAAGCATATCACACATTGGCCAGATAAGGTTCATCAGGCCTTATTTGCAGAGAATGTGACAACTAGCCATGTCACTGGATTTTCACCATTCTACCTATTGCATGGAGTGCAGCCAATCTTACCATTTGACCTAGTCGAAGCAACATTTATGGTTGATGGTTTTCATGCCAATATGGATCCAGTTGACTGCTTATCCCTGTGTATACGTCAATTGGAGAGGCGTCCAGAGGATATAGAATGTGCTGCAATAATTTTGAAGAAGGCACGATTCAAGTCCAAGGCTCAATTTGAGCACAAATTCCGTTTACGATTGCAGAGAAAAGGATTTTTACCAGGAGATTTGGTTCTTGTTCGTAACACCAGGATTGAGAAGGAACTCAACCGCAAGACCAAACCACAGTATCTAGGACCTTTTGTAGTGGAATGCCAAACCAAGGGAGGATCATATGTACTCAGAGAAATGAACAGTGTCCTGTCTAGATGTGGTGTAGCTGCCTTTAGACTAGTACCTTACATCTCTAGAGATTTGTCCATCCTACCATCATTATCACAACCCCTTGGTGAGGACGAAGAAAATCAAGACAGTGACCAAGGAACACCAAATACTTCAAGTGAAAAAGAAGTAGTCCTAACGGACGAAGAATAGCATAACCCCATCCATCATCATTATCTTATCATTCCACTATGAATGGTATAGCATAACGCGCAGTCAGACGTGTACGTGCCATGATCATTGACATCTTTGAGACTTTACTCGAAGAAGTCTGTGAAAAGCATTTGCAATGTCAACCATCCATTAACCTCCATGACCATTATGAAATCATGGTCCAATACTGGAACAATAGCTGGCATGGAGAATTATATCATATCTGCCCACTATGCTATAACTTCTTTCACTGTTGCGTCAATCTTGAAGCAGCTCTACTACTAGGAAACCCTGAACACCACCAGAGACGATCTAGATCATTACCTCCTGATGTTTAAGCCACCCATCCCTCCCAGTATATTATTCAACTTCTATCATTATTCAACCTCATCCTATCCTTACCTTTTGCTCACAATCATGAACCGTTCAAACACCTATACAACAAGATTAGAAGACCTCCTTCACATGCTGATCAGCCGGATGTTTGATCTTCTGTATGAAGATTCAAAAGTCATCATCAAATTTGGCCTAATCTTAATCTTGCAATTCACTACTACGAGATGATTTCCCTCTGGGAAAATGACTACCATGCACACCTATACGAGAATTGTCATGTATGTTATTTCTTATTTCAATGTTGCACTATGTTACAGTCATATGAACCAGTGACTGAGACATTGCGCAATCGGCAATCAAGATCAGCACCACCAGAAGAGAGTATTTATTTGTGAAGATGCAACTGGGGACAGTTGTAATCTCACTGCCCCGCGGATGTCCTGCATGATATGGGAATCATGCAGAACACATACATGACATATTATCCCACATATCTATAGTCTGTTAGCTTTGTCCTCAGACTACACAAAAATGTACTTTGAGTATAGACTCAAGTGCAACAGAAAGCTTTGTGTGCTCCAATCACACAAAAGTACGGTGTTTTGAAGAAAAGTCAAATATGATGGAGAAATCATATATTGACATAGTCCAAGTAATAGGCACATAAAATCTCAGGTTATTACCTAACTTTTGGCTTATTTACTTTGACTACAAATAACCAAGGAGAAAAGTTAAAAGCTTACAAAAACCCTATCAAAAGGCCCGTGTTTTGCTTTGTTTTCTTTTATGATTATTCCTACCTTATTTTCTCTATGTTTTTCTTTCATTTCTTTACCTATATGATTTATTGACATCCCAGATGCCTCATAAAATGTACCTACAGGGTATGATGTCATATGGCTCCACAGATAGTTCTGGCCTATTATGTTGGTTTCTCTGATGCCACCCATGATGTCATAGTGATGTCATTGGATGCTAGAATGTTCTGCTCCACCTAGCTCCACCTAGCTCCACTTGGCTCCACTTTTGCTCCACTTTTGCTCCGCAATGAGGTCATTTATGATGCAATTCTGATGACATTTCTCTTTTCAATCTTATTTCTTGGTACTATATAGTTTCTCCCATCTCATGTATAAAAGGAGAGCCAATCTCCACCCAATAATATAAGAATTTACTTTCCTATCAAACATCTGAAGGAAATCCCCCCTCACATTCTTCCACTTTCTCTAACATTGACACTCTTGTGTTAGCCAGAAAGTGCAGACCAAGTATCTAGACTTGCTCTGAGACCATATTTACTCTTTTCTTGACTGTACCTGTATTGTCTAGTGTGCATCTAATATACATTTCAGAGGACTAGAAGTATCAAGTCAAGCCATTTATCTGTGCTGGCAGATTCCTTTGTTGGATTATCTGCATACGTATTTTCAGTCGTATAACTCATAGTTGTACGCACCCCATTGTATTATTGTAGTAGTATAACACACGGGTGGTTATACACTATCATCCTATTATTTTGGATACATCCTTTGTACTTTACTTCAAGGGAGTCCAAACCAGCACCTCTGATTTGTATTGCACGGTCATACAAATCTTTCTATTTCCCATCAACAAATCCTTCATATTTAGGCAGGGGAAATTCTAGCAATATCTGCTACATCCAGTTGCAACCAGTTGCACAACAGTACGCACCTCACATCACTTATCTGTCTAGTCAACAAAAAGGACTAGAGAGACTTATTCGTATCAAGTATTTTCCATCTAGCCATAGGAAAGGCTAGATATTCCTCTACAAAGTCTACATTATCTGTCTTGCCAGATAAAGTTAGATTTCTCTTGTAGAACATCTACTGTTCTAGGTAGAATCACACCACTGGGCTGTATAAGCAGGTAACCTCCCACGAACAACGTGTTATCTACCACGAAAGAAGAAAAGTCATAGACCGCGAACTTGAGGTTGTTTGGCAGCATCTAGTCTTATAAAAAATGTAATTGTGGTGTCATTGCCTTTTGACCACTTTTATATAAGACACCTCAAGTAAGAAGACAGCGTGCATCCAGTCCATGGGGAGGAGTTTAAAGAACATTTGTCAGACATCCACCTAAGAGGAATGTAAGTGATTTCTACAGCCTATGTGCACCCACCATGGTCATTCTTTTACAGGGAAGTGATGACGAAGTCATTGAACAATCTAAGCATCGGGACTGTCTACATACCCGCGTCAGCATCAGAGATGTCTCAACCGCTAGAATTGTTCAAGTTAAAGTTGAACTGTTGTAGTATCTCGCAGTCCTCCACTGTGGCATTGCACTCAGCAAGTGCTGAGCCATACTTAGACGTACCTTCCAAGTCTCCACAAATGCACGCCTTCGCAGGAAGCTCATCAATACCCCCTTTCGCAGACCTGGAAGACTCGCTCACAGGCCCTTCCCCATTTTTTGCCTCCGCAGGAGGCTCATCAACACCTTCTTTCGCAGGCCTGGAAGACTTGCTCATAGGCCCTTCCCAATTTTCCGCCTTCGTAGGAGGCTCATCAATACCCCCTTTTGCAGACACAGAAGACTCACTCATAGACCCTTCCCACTTTTCACGACCCATTGGCAGTTCACATTACCTCCGACCCAAGATGGGGCTTGACTTTGTACAGTCGCCACCCCAACTCGGGATACAAGAGAACTACCACCCATATCTTCAACAGTCACTCAGTCTGGCGCCGTCATTTGATCATGATAATCGGCCCTATCATCTACACCCGTACTAAGATCCATAGTTTCATATTTTCGTCAATTGTAGTCCTGCGGGGTCGAGTGCATCTCTCATATGCTTTTCTTTTTCTTTTTTTGCTGCAGTACTAGTACTTGTATCACTGAAAGGACCAACCTATTCTATGAGATTTTCAATCGCTCTAATGAAAACCATGAAACCCAGAAAAATAAAATGCCCTCTGGCTGTTTCGAACTCACAACATGAGCCAAGCTCACATGACCAGCACCATTGACACTAGCAGCATTAACCCTTTATTAGACCAGCAACAATTTGTATATATATACCCACAACTATTCCACAAAACTTCAATATTTGGTTTCGATGCCATAACAAAAGTTATAGTTCTCATTGAGAGGACCATATTGCTACTCCTACTTTGTCTATTGGTTGTACTCTAAGCAAGATATAAGCAAAATAAAAGTTGAACATCAGTTTATTGAAAATTTTGTCCTGAATTTTCCAGGTTTCAGTGACCCTGGCTGCTCTCATGAATGCTGTGGTATGCAGGTTGTGATACCTTGCAATTTCTCACACATGGCCTGCTACCAGTCAGCCAGCTGAGCACAGTACTTCACTCTTTGCCAAACGTTGAATGTACCACTGATCATATATTTGAACCTTAGTGCCAAGCAACCCGAAACCCCGGTTAAAAGCTGAATGCTGGCTTGCGCCACAGTCTTTGCTTATAAGGTGTAAATTTAACAAGAAATCACTCTTTGAAATCATGCCTCCCATCCGTTTGTTACAGTACAACAGTGGCTGGCAGTCTCAGCCCCACATACTTCCTGGATCATTTAGAGGACCGTCCCCAGGGAACGTCAAGAGGCACTCTACCCCTACAACAACTCTGAAAAGTTGAGCTACTGTTGTTGGGGAGCCAGCTTCAAACCTTGAAGTATCAAATGAACACCAGGCAATACCAGAATTGCTGAAGCCAAATAACATTGAGGAATCAGGCATACAGGATTCCAGGAATGTCAAAAGGCACTCTACACCTACAACAAGTATTGCGAAAAATCCAGCTAGTGCCGTTGTTTTAGAGTCAGCTTCGAGTTCGGGAGTAACAAGTGGACCCCACTCAATACCAAAGTTGTTGAAACCAGGAAATATCGAAGATGTGGAATCAAACACACAGGATCCTGGTACGTGTGTTGCAACTCACAGACTATGTAATTTATTTCCCAAACTTTGCAGGCTTGCGCCAATTGATTATCAGCAGACTTCAGAACAGTGGCGATGGGCCCAAAGTTGAGGTATGAGAAGTTGCGTGCTTCTGATTTTCTCAGGCTGATTGCTGTGTAGGTATTCTCAAACATTTCAGAAGACGATTATCAATATGTTTTGAATGCTATTGGATCTGACGATAAACTGGTTCGCAAGTGAGTGATTTCATCCTGATCTGAATTTGAGCTGATTGATCTTGCACTTTGCTTCAGACCGTCATACATCCCCAGCCTTCGCCAAATCGTCGCCACCACGCCCTCACCAATACACGAGGTGATCCTAGTGGCTTTGCGCACTGTGATGGGGAATGTCGTTGATTCTTTCGTCATTCCTGATGATTTCGAGGTCTCTCTACCTATCCACATGGGGTGTATGCTAGATGCGCCCGCTACTGCAGAACTCCCCTCCAGTGATCAGAAGTACCGCCTTGGAATACCAGACTTGTTATTGATGTTTCAGACGCGCGATGCTGATATCCGTCCCTACTGGCCATTTGAGGTCTCTGTTTCTCAGACATCTGAAGGTGCCATCACCCAGTTGCAAAAATTCGCCGATCAGAACGAGCACGTCTTGGCCACCACCCACATCAACATTGCCAAAACATGGAAACACACCTTACCCACATATAAATGGGGTATCAAGAATGAGCTTGATCGGAGGGGAGTTTAGATCAGAGAGTTAACACGGTCAGAAAATGGTGGGTTCACATCACAGTCTCATACGTGGTTCCACCCTGTAACGGTCACTGTAACCACGTGGATTCGCCCTGCTAAGAGACAATTGAGCCTGAAATCGCGTCATTCTACTTATTATGCGACCGCTGTATGTATGCCTCCATGTCGTCTCATATTCACGCTAACTATTCACATTCACAGGTACTCTACCCCAACCGAGATGAGGAGGGCCTGGAGAAAGTTCAACAGATGTTTCAATGCACGCTTGAGAGAATCCGTGAAGCAGTTCTTGAACACCTACACACTGAGCATGCGCATGACGATGCACTCCTGTAAGCACTAGAATTCACTGATTATCGTAAATTCATCAGTTCTATTTTTTTCAGCAACTCACTCCAGGTTGTCCAGGATTGGTCTCCACCAAATGAGGTAGTTAACTGGAAGAAATGCACCACACAACTGCGGCCAGCAGTGAAGCAGATGGGGTTCGACCAGTACCGCTTATGGCACCATAACTTTCTCAAGCGCGTGGCTGATGAGACCGAGGATGCTGGAGCTGGACTGAGGAAGAAGAGAGGAAGGGTCGCATAGTATGTCTCATTCTACTGCACGTCTCGTGTAGAGTGTTTCAAGTTGCACTACCATACGTTTTCACCACTCAGTTTTCAAATTGTATCACTACATGTTTTCATCGTTTCTACGCTGTATCGGTCACATGGTGTTGTTTGTGTACAACGACTTATACATCCTTACAATACTTTTCGGTTATATCAACAATTATCACATGGTGTTCTTGAACTCAGGACATGTTTTCACTGAGCTCCTATATTCACTGCCGGATTGCAAGTAGTGTCGTCGCGAGAAGAGATGAAGAGCAATCTGCTTCGACATACATTTTCAGGAGTTTGTGTTGAAGCAGGAGCTGCGCTAGGTGCTCCCGAAGCTTGCGTGATCTCGCATGGTTTTTCAGAACATTGTTCGCTTCTCGGCTATATATTAGTTCGAGAGGTGTCTGGATCTCTGTCTGTGTTTGTCTGTTCCATCTCTTAAGGATATCATGTGTGCTGCGGGAGAGGACAATCATCTTTTTCATGCCTGTTGGCCCATCTATTTGTCACATGCATCTTCTGGTGACAATCTGGTATTGAAAGAATTGTTGGTTGATTTTGAAAGTCTTTCTTACTTTGCGTGAGATGCAATGACTCATGGTTTGCAGATTCAATCATGGTCCTCGCGTGAACATTTGTTGGACATTGGTCTGGCTTTCCATAGGATGAAGAATTGACAGGGTCATGGCGGCATTGTGTGTTGCAAACACCCTGGCATAAAAATGGCAGTGGCTTCTCACCATGATTCATGCACTCTGGCTGAATCGATGGCTTCGCTTACATTATAATCAGTTGTTTTTGTCCCATGGTGATGTCTGTTGCATTTGAGGCTGTCGATGTCGCTTCACACGATCCTACTGCTCCATCGTCTTCTGTCACATTGTAATATTCAAGACAGCGTGTTGGTCGTCAAAATACAGCTTTTGACGTCCCATCTCGAGCCTTGATCTCCATCATGAATGGCGCTATCAGTCTCGACAGATTTTCCTTTTCTTGTAGTTGACACTGCAGCTAGCAATGTGGTTCTTGGTTCTGACTGGGCAGCGTATTGCCGCGATATAACTCACAATCATCGTCTGCCTGCGCACGAGTGTTGTTTCGGTCAGTCCGCTTTTAGTCTGTATGGTCTATTATTGATCATTGTCGTCACAGTATGCTCTGACACCATTGCTGTTCTTTGCCAATCCTATCCAGTTCTCACACATCGTTAGAGATCACGGACTGCAGAGAGTCATCGCGAGAAGAACTGAAGGTGAAGCTTTTTCCTTGTCTTCGGCATTGTCCACTGCATGTCTTAGAGAGAAATTGTATGCTCATGAAGTATTCTCATGCTGCGGTTCTGATCCAAACTACCTCCATCCGACCGGTTATTCTACTCTTGACAGTCTCAAAGCCCATCAGAATATGATTTCAAATTGCCATTGGGTTCCAGAGAAGGTAGGATAGGTGTATCACTATTTAACCCATACTGATTTTCCTGGTCCGATAGCTCAGGGTTGCAAACGACACAAGTCTTGCTGTTATGGTTGTACTTTCAATTATAAAAACAAACATTTCTTACTAATCATAGCGGTACAGTCTCAGGAGTCTGAACTCGAAGACCTCAACGCAGTTGCTTCTCTCGATAGCTGGCCTGCTGTAAATGAGGCAAGTCAATTGTGCTGATAGGCTGCATGACATTTCTCGTCGCTCACCAGAGAAAAGGAGGTGAACATACTGGACATCGATTGTTGTGGGAGGTCTCTGATGACTCTGAGGCAGGTGTAATGACTACAGACCAAGTTATTCTCGATGTCTTGAACAAGATAGGGGAGGAGTTAGTATTCCGATCGCGCCCCAGGATGACAGCATGGTCAGCCCCTGGTTGCTCACTACCCAGTTGCATGCTCATACCTGTGGTCACCTGACTGAGTGTCTCTGCGATATGGTGGTGATACCTAAGGACGACAATGATGACAAAGACCTGCTAAAGCTTAAGGAAGGCGGGTGGGAGTATACTTTTAGGATGCTCTATATCTGTTGCTCACGACAGTCTGCAAAGGTTCAACTGTGAGCATCCCTAATAGCATCTAACAATGACCGGCTTCTCATTTAATCAATGTTTAGTGGGATATCCAATACACCATTTCATAAGCATCAGGAAAAGGAGACTATGCGACAATATATCCTACCTATAGTGGCCTTGCTTGCAATGATTATACGCAGCGATGAGTAAGCGGGAGTTTAGGTATTCAGCTGAATGTAGACACTGTATACGCTCTGCAAGCCAGATATTCAAGCGCAACAGAGTATCACTTGTGTGGACTCAGCATGGAGACTCTAGCAGTCCAAGCTCACAGCCTGAGAGCAGGACACAGGCACAGCAACATCAGCGTCAACATCAGCGTCAAGCACAAAAGGAGGACTATGAACCAAATGGAAATGTTTGTAAGTCATGTAGATACATATGAGGTGTGAATACACGCACCTCTGCAGCTTAGCGAAAGACACCCAGAATCCCTCCACCTCGACTGTGCCCAGTGCTATCAACCTTCATCACAAAACGATAGATGGTTACAGGCTCGAAAATACCTAGTTGTAGTTGTAAATGTCAAATAGATTTTTTTTTTAAAAAAACCAAGGCATACCTATCACTGGCTTGTCTGATGACGGCATGATGTGGGAGGGGCCAGGACGGCACAGTGGATAAGTTAGAAACATTGATTACAAAATAATTACCATTTTTGAAGGCACGGGTATGCCAGGGGTACAGGTTAGTGCACAGGTCCCAGAATTCCAACCTGTACCCGTACCCCGAACCCACATGGTTTACCCCAACCTGTGCAGTTGCTTACCTGCAGACCCTCTCTCAAAATATCAATGTATTGTGTCGCAAGAACAACAGGACACAGATGGACCCACCATCTTCTGGGACCTGTGGAAGGGGGAGACAGGGAAGGGGAGGGGGTGGGGCTAATATGCAAGACTCATCACTAGCCACAATTCTGTGGCACAATGTCCCTATGTGCACCAACAAGCTTGTCAATTTCCTCATTGAGCATCTGCCAGATTGTGCCATACTGTAGAGTTACGACACTAAATTCGTCACACATCACACCACACTCTGAATTGAAGCTATTCACTGTGACTGTCACACTGGTATTTGCAAGATGAAGCTAAAATGTGACATGTGGTAAATTTGATGGAAAAAAAACATACAGCGCTTCAATGAGACCAAAAATCATCTTACCTCAATTATCATTTTCCGGACCACAATAAGAACACAATGCGTACAAACTCAAAACAACGGGCTCGAAGTGAACCTATTTTGGATAGGTCACACGTCACATCGTGATTTAAAGCTTTGAAGCTAAGAGTAAGGTGGTCACAGCTAAATCTAGTCGAAGGTAGTGTCGTAACTCTACAGTATTATTTGTGACCAAGAGTAAGAAGTCCAGCAAGATCTACAGTATGATTGCAAAGGTCATCTTTCATGATGATGCTACATATGGGAGTTGGTATGCCACCAACCCTGTCAAGTTCCATGACTCTGTGGCTAATCGCATCACATCATAAGTACTTCTCTGTCTATTGCAACTGTGCTAACTGGATGATGTGAAGTCTATGGACTAAATTCCATGATATTTGTGCCAAATTTGAGTCTACAGGTGTGGGCATTGTGCCAATTGACTCAGAGACGTCTGACAACTTGCATCATGAGTGTCCCACTCATGTCTTATCGATACCACTGATAAAATTCATAGGTAAAATCGAGAAAGAATTTCCATGGTACAATGACCTCTACGAGATATGGGGATCCAACCCCTGATTTTCTGCCAAAGTGAGCTCATTGAAACCAGGTGCTGACCATGCTGGTGACCTATTCACACTAACCTGTCCTGCAGGAGGCTCACAGAACCCTCCTTCAGATGCCCATCTGCAACTCAACATATCTATCCCTAACCACAACGCTAATGTCCAAATGAACTATGCCTGCCCTCCTCCAAGTGTTGGAGGCAGCTCAGCTGACTCCCCTGTGCAAATGGCCTATATGCCTCTTTCCCGAAGTGCTCCACCTAGTGGTCCTGCTGCCCCCCTGAACCAAACCACTCCCGTCAATATGCTCAGGAAGCCAGCAGTGCTGGCTCCTCCCCACAATGGGGCTTTTCTCAAGCTCCCACAAGCAACTGTGCAGGTGGCACCATGAGCTCCCCCCTCCACTTCGGCCATACACCCCTTCCTCCCAGTAGTCAGTCATTTGGCCGTGAAGATTATTCTCCGGCCTCTCTGGGATCTAATGATTACGACCCACCTTTCGATGATGGCCCCCTCGCTCATGGTATGGAGGACCTTTGTATGGACAACATGGACGAAGTCTGTCGTGATGAGGAGAACATATATAATTTGGACAGCCTGCCCAGATCGAAAAAGGCATGCGGAAAGAAGTGACAGCTACCTTCCTCTCTCACTCTGTCACCTCCCAAGGCACCCCCTCCCCGCACCTCCAACCACGACAGTCGCAGCTCATTCAAATCCCACGTCAATCACATCATCATGTGCGAGAGCACTTCTTCCCCCACCTCTTCATTGAAGGTTTCATTGGAACAGTCCAATCTGTCCTCCCCTTGGCAGCGTCTCCAACTTCCCACACATTGTTCTCCGAGAGACCAAGCAGCAGGGAGTCAGTGAAGAAGCGTCTCCGAATGGAGGTTCAGGAACAAGTTGAGATGTTGAACGATAACTTAGAGAGTGTGCACTCTGAGAAGCTCACCTTATACCAGCTCAAGAACGAGTGCCTGATGGTCAAGCTCAATGCCAATCACCAAGACAAGGAGCACCATTTTCTATGCGAGGAGCGTGCCCACAAGTGCGTGAATGCCACGCTCATCCATCAATGGCTGCAGGAGACCAAGGACCAGGAGATTTGTTTATCGGAAGCAGATGTGAAGGCTCTTGAGTTAGAGAGGCAGGTGATGCTCTTGCATATTGAATATGCCAAGATCAACAAGCCATGATGTTCCTGTGTGCACTTTGTCATATGTTTTTTTTGCCGTTTCTTTTTGCTGCATGTTGTCATTTGTTCGCCGCTATTTGATAATTCTACAACCTACTCACTAGCATGTATGTAGTACATTTGTATGTCAAAGCTATACCTGTTTCAACTTATCCTTGCCTATGCTAAGCATCTGAGTGAGGACTGTCAAACAATTGATCCATCAACCTGGCCCTATGTGCTTGACCAGGAGTGCCTACATATGAGCTATCACCCACCACTTCATTACCATCTGGTCCTTCATATTCTGGATGCAGAGTATGTTTCCCTTCTTGAATGGCCCATCTGGTTGTAGGTTTGTTGCATTTTTCTCCAAATTTGATGATCATGTTGTGAAGGATAAGGCAACACCTAACCCAATGCAGAGTAATCTGGAGGTCTTTCTGGGTCTGCATAGGGTGACAAAGCTCCTTAAGAGACTGAAAATGCCCCTTCAAAGCAGCAAATGTGTGCTTGATGCGGACATGGACCTGGATGAATTAACATCAATGAAAATCAGTAAAAATTCCAAAAAATCAGCAGAAAAATTAGGAGATATCCTGGATAGGTGGATATTAAAGGTCTTCTGGTCCCTTGTCAACCTGCCATTCCGAGGCTTTTTGAAAGGTGGAATACACCACTTCTCAAGTGGATATGCACTATCAGCCCAAATCCAATGGTCATCAGGAAGAAGTGTGTCGTGTTCCTGGTAAACACAAGTGGATTTGAAGGCATAAGCATAATGTGTACTTCCAGGGTGACCAAGTGAATAATCGGCAATGAGGAGATTATGGGGCATGATAATTGCCTGAATTTTTTATTAATTTCTAACCACTAGAATAAGAGAAAAAAAAATTTGACAGTTGAGGGAATAGTTAGACTTCCTGTCATAAAACGCCTCACCATAAAGACCAGGTTTCTCATACAAATTAATAGCTGAGCCATCAATTGCAAGGATACCATTTCTCCACTCAGGGCAAGACTTGGCCTCAACATATTGCCAAGCATGCTCAGCATCCTCAGAGTCAGGAGCAGGGAAATGGATGAATGTGTCATGCTGATCAAGGAGGGCAATCATCATGTGGTTACTGCAATTGATTACCAATCCAACACTGACACCAGCCCATTGGCCCACATCATCTGGTGAGATAGCATTGCCATAATGGCCAGCACAGTTGAGAAATATAGCCAGTTGAATAACAATGGGAAGTTGAGGGTTGTTTGACTGGTTAGTGAAAATAGGGTGATCAGAAATTTGATTGAGAATATCATCGAAGATGTCAGGATTAACACATAATTTCTTGCGGAAGAGGTGGTGCCGAGAGCACCCAAAGTCATGAAGGAGCTGAATCTGGGGGGCTCGCATAGGAGGTACATCTAGTTTATGAAGAATACGGGCCCTGGTGACCTCATCACAAAGAGCTGTAATGGTATCATGAAGGCGGTTGTAATGGGTAGTGAAGCCGTCAGATCCATCACTAGAAGAATAATCTAAAAGGTCAAATTATTGTGGGGTAAGAGGAGATGGAGGAGTGACCATCAGATCAAGGCCAAGATCAGAATCAGAGTCAGAGTCAGAGTCAGCATCAGAGGAGTCAGAATCATAGAGATCAGTAAGGGTAATGAGAGAACACTCTAGCCTGGCCTTGGCTAAGGCTAGTTCAGCCTCATCCAGTTGCTCAAGCAGCTGATTGTGCACAGAGGGACGAGGCATCTGAGGATCAAGAGAGAGATAAGCTTATCACCTGCATCAATAGGGGACACTGTTGCCGGAAATGGCAACTTTTTCAAGTGGAGATTGAATTTTAGTTGGCGGCTCTTCCGCTCAATGACAAGTACAGTGACAATGCTCTACACACCTGACATCCATGATCTTTACTGCCTGCACCTTCATCTCGCACCCTCACAGTGCACCCTCGTCACATACCATTATTTGCACCCCACACTTTTGTCCTGCACCCCTTGGATGAAAAACTTCACTTTCCTCCCATCTTTAGTACTTAATTTGACCCAACTGCTCTACTCTACTCTACCCCCACCTTATCTAACCCCATGAGCTACTGGGAAGGCATCAGCAGGGGCTGTGCAACTGGCTTTAGCATTTACTATCTGACTATCAAACTTCTCCTAGACAAACTTTTAGGTGAGTACGATGGCGAAGACGACCAAATGGCTGACACCCCCATCGAGCAACTAGATGATACGAAGGAGGATGGCAACAGCAACAGTAATAATGTCCCACCCAACCTGAGGGCAAGTCCCTCCTTGTTGGGTCTGCTTCTGCTGAACAAGACGTTCTTATGAGCAATTCTCGTCAGCAGCAGCAACCACAGCCATCTACTCCTGATCCGTTCCCAGTCCCGCAAGTTCCTTCTCACTCTCATATCATGCTCAATCGCACTCATGTACTCATGGCAAGGACCGTTGTCTTATTACTTAAGGGTCTTATATGAAACTTGTGTATAATGACAACACAATTATACACAGTGAAGACTTCTTGCCAGTCCTTAAGTCCATGGTCTCTGACTTTTCTACTTCGTGGGAGGTAATGTGGTGAGTTCTTGGGAGGATTTAGTTTGTTGTCCTCTTCCTGTAATCTCAAACAAAGATTGTTCTGTGTTCTGAATATACATTTAGGTTTGTTTCAGTCTAGTAGGTCGTGTTTCAACCTATGAAAGTCTGTTTCAACTTTGTCGTCCTTAGATTTGTGTCTCACTTTCCGTTGAAAGAGAGAGTCTTATGTATACATGTAAAGCTTAGAATGAGAGTTCAGTAGTTATATAGTCAACCCCTGTAAGGTAGTATATAACCTAGAGTAAAATAATGATAATGAAAGTTATATAGTCAAACCCCTGTAAGGTAGTATATAACTTAGAGTAGATAATGATATCTTAGATGTTACCTCAAGGCACTTATGTTGGCCTGCACTTTAATTCTTAGTGATCTCACACGGTTTGAGACAAGAGTCAAGTGGGAGGATTGTTATTTCATGGTGAAAATGGTGTCCTTTTATACCTTTTGGGAACCCCCTTACTAAGCATGATTTATCAGATGGATTGGTAAGAATGTGGCTTACAAACCAGGTGATGAATCAGCTTATTACTAAGTACATTACAAATACAGTGTAATCTTACAAAGAATTTACAAAGCATGACAAATCATGACAAATCATGATGAGTCATGTGAATGTTGTTACAAATCAGATTATTTCCCAGTCACATGATGTGCTGACAAACAAATCTGGTGGCTGAAAGAAGCCAAATAACAATAAACAGTCAGAAATAAATAGAGATACAAAACTTTAACAAGCAAATCTGTGGCTGAAAGTAGTCAAATAAAAATAAACAATGAGAAATAAACAGAAGGTCACATGCTTGATACAAAGACAAGTTAAAACAAGTCTGAAAAGTGAGAAATAAAATACAAGATAATAAATCAAAGGAAAAATAGAGAGGTAACTTAGTGACAGAGGGCTAGACAGTCTCTCATACCTTCCTTATCACTCTCTATATATATATCTGACATGGTATGAATCACATACCATACATGATACTGTTCCAGCAAGACACCCACAAACTGTCCTGTACTAACTGTACAAACGTCTGCCACTAAGAAGACTGGTAAAGCTGGACAGCATGCTTCTGGGAGCATGAAGAGTCCCTCGTCTGCTGCTCCCTCAGCATCTGCTCTCAAGCACTCTGCCACTATGAGCACAAAACATACTGCAACTGCAACAGTGCCTGCTTCTGCTACTGCAACAAGCCTTAATCCACTTCTCACCTTTGTCCTGTCCCTTTGTCTTGCACCTTCATCCTGTCCATTTGTCTTGCACCTTTGTCCTGCACCCTTATTGCATCGAATAGCTTTTGTGTACATTGAGATTCATAAACATTGTTATAGTTGTATTATCTACATATATATGTATATGACTATTGCTATTTTATCATGATGTTTGACTGCATTTTTTACCACTAAGTCTTGTTCTGAAGTCCAACTGTGATGCTGACCTAAGCTGCACTTATGTCGACATTTCTTTGAATTCTTAACTGAAGTTAGCCAACATTTTATGGAGCTTACCGAGTTTAGTGAGTTTTCAGGAAAACACTTTGAACACCACTATTGTCACCATGAGGATTATAGAGATATATAAATTTACTCCAGCCAAATATCACCATTTATACATCAGCAAATTTGATGTCTTTGTACATGGGCATGGGTATGCATGTCCATAAATTTAAGTTACCTAGAGGCATTCATGACAACATAACTATATGATGTATATATGATCTGTCCCTACACTAATCTGGCCCAACTATTTTCTAATTTCTGCAGTGAGTACTGCTTCCACAAACTGGCACTTGCTAGAATTCAACATCATGAAATTGGGCTAGCGATGTTTTTCATAGATATTTTTGGCAAAACTGTACCTGTTCTGACTAGGATAAGTCTTCTCAACACCAGCACGAATGTGCTATCGCGTAGAGCGTGTCGAGGGTATCTTACAGGTCGGCGAATGCCAACAGGTCTCTCTGTTGATGTCGGTAAGATCCACGGACCTCATTGAGATGAAGGGCTAGTGAGAATACGGCTAAGGCATGGGGAGCGACTTTAGAAGTGCAGCGAGGTTTCAAGGAAGCAAGTGGATTAGACAAGCTAAAGACCTAGTTCTGGGGATCTACCTAGTAGATTAAAGTAAAGAACTAATATAATAATCTGTCTACTTATATACTGTCTGTACATAAGGGTTCAAGCTCAGTCTGTATCTGAGGATCTATGCTATCAGAGATAAGGGTACATGAGGTCAACCATGAGGCTTAACCTCTGATCAAGCATGAGGCACCAAGAGGCGCTCCGGATCTACATGAGGTGGCATGAGGCAACATGCACCGGTCTGGGTGTACATGAGGCGTACAGCCTCAGACGATCAGGTACAAGGCCTTCTAGGCCAAGGGCGGTGTCACAGCGGTCCAGACCACTGTCGTTCTAAGTTCTAGCGGTGTGCTGCTGTGTTGGGAGTCTAGCAGAGCAGGGGCTTCTGTAGATGTTACGGACGAGTGTAACAGTACCAAGTATCTACAAATTATATCCAAATACAAAGCAATACATCAGCACAAGCATTACAGCATCAAAGAACAATAAAACTGTAATTGCGATGAAGATATGCATGTCTCACAACTGTGGCGCTTATAGATAAATCAATGAAGGAAAACTAGCATCTCTCCTGAACAATGGTCATCTGCTGCCTGTGCTTGAATTTGCAATGCTAACCAGTTGGCAATCTAAAATTGCAACATTCTTGTCATGTGTGTGAGAAGTTACAATACATGTCTGACAATTGTGCATCACGGCCATGTGTTGCCTGAGCTTGAATTTGTGACAGTCATTTGCAATGCCAACCAGTTGGCAATCTAGAATTACAATATTCTCATCATATGTGTGGAAAGTTACAAAAAAAAAATCTGTCTAACAATTATGCATGGCCATCCGCTTTGGTACTCTGGTGCGCTGCTTGAGCACAGCCAATAATTAATAAACAATCAGACCACAAAAGATGTTGAATAATGACAACATTGATAGAGATATGAACAACACATTGTAGATGAGGGTGAGCTTAATCTTCCAAGGTCTTCCAGATGATGAATCCTTGACACATTAGTTCTGGGTATGAACTAAAGAGTGGTGGTGTAGCAGGTGCTACATGTGTTGGCTGAACTTGACCATTGACACCACACTCATTGGTACTGACACGGTGCGGGATCTATCTTTTCCGCCAGAAAAACAGTAAACATTTTGGAAGAAAAGGTCAAAATTTATCTTTTATTTAATCTGCTTAAAAATGATGAAACAAGATCATAATGTTCTTCTAAATTTCCAATGGAACAAACTGCAAACAAATTAAAATTTGGTGTTTTCAATTTCTTCATGATATATCAGGTGAAAATTTCAGAATAATGTTCACCTTTGTCACTGAACAAAATACTATACAAATTAGAAGCAACATGGGGTATGATTCGTTTTGAAAAAGTATATCAGAAAAGTTGAATGGAGAAAGCAAAACTTTTTTTATCATTTTTATCATGGACAAAATCAGGACCACTGATAGTGGCAACCAAATACATGGGACAATGATTGGTGAAATTCTTCTATTACATTATAATTATATTATATCTGGGTCCACACTGCCATTGTACATTCACCATGCGGACTCAGAAACACCCACAACCGTCAAATTGGTATAGATCCCGACCTTTGTAAAATTTCCCAGAGTCATTCTTCTTTCCCTTCCACATAGCATTACCCCAACCCACCAACATCTTTCATCTACTCCTATGATATCTTCCGAGCAAGCAGATGCTGCCCTCAATAATACTCTGAAAGATGTTCAATCACTTATCAAGTGATGTATGAAGTTGAAAAAGGGAGATTCAGCAACGGGTTTGGCATTGTCGGATGAGATTGCCAGACGGGTGGTATGTCCCGTTGCCGTTGATTATCTAGTTAATTCTGGACTAGAGAGATAATTTGTAACAGGCAAAAGATTTAAATTTCTATGGAGGGAGTGCAACATCATTCTCTCCCCAGCTGCTGTCATGTGCAGTGGTGGTACGGCAGTACTCAAAAGGTGGCATGTTTGAATCATTGCCAGACTGGACAACTGTCGGCGACAATGACCCACACATCAAGGATGACCCACGTTTCCACAAGACCATATATTATTGAGCTCCTACCGGTTAGAATTTGGTTTTGATGCTGGGCCAACTGGGATGCATCAGGATGCATCAGGATGCAAACTGCATTGCATCAGAATAATGCATCAGCAATGCATCACTGTTGCATTGCTCTAACCAAGAACCCACTGCAGTGCTAATGCATCACTGCATCCCTACAACTGCAATGAATTGTTGCATCAAAATGACACTATGGCCTGTTAGGGTGTGGAGGATCCAAAGGCGAGTCTATTCAGTTCCAGGGCTGAACTCGCTCTACCATCATGATGGTCAACATGGTTCATGTATATACTTTCATGTAAAACTTTCCTCAATGAGAAGGGAGTACATACATCAAAAATATAGTCATTGCGCGCATTTACAGCAGTAGTGTAACATAGTGGCTCTCCTGGAGGCAGCGACAATAGGGAGATATGCTTGATGAACGGCCTTGGTGTCATTGGTAAGTTATTGGGCATCAATATTTAGTGCATTCGTACTCTTCACACTGACATGACACAACAAAGATCGTGTGAATGTATATGGGCTGCATCACTGACTAGAAAAATGGCGGCTCTGTGACACGTGAAGGTACAGTCTGCAATGGTGGAATGGGTTCTGAAACATATTGACAAGACCAGCTGGTCAACTTTGACAGGTTTTGGGTTAAGAGATGAATCTGATGATATACACACTGGCCTGTATGCATTGACCAAGTTCTGGATATACTCTTTCAGTGGAGCATGGGAGGCCCTCCATTCTTTGTGGGTATGGTGCAAACTATACGAAAGATGGATTTCATAGTGGGCTTTCCATCTCGCAACAGCTGGTCATTGAAGTGGTCCAAATGGTAAATGAATAAATAAATTGCCAGAAAAGACTGTACCGTTAAGGTGGCCCTCGAGGGTGAGTGGACCGACAAGTTCGGGCTCGAATGTGACATCTGCAGAGACAATTTGAGCCAACTCTTCATTGATTATGTATGGGCCTTTTGGATCAGAGAACCCTATACTGGCAATGGTACGGATCTGGAAATGGTTGTCAGACGTTCCACTAAGCTAAGTTGGTGGACATTGAGGTCTCGCAGTTGAGTGGGTGCCATCTGCACCGATAATGTATCTAGCTCTGAAAACTTGACCGTCCTCAAATGACATGTCAGTGATACAAGAGTCCTTTTCATTCTGTTTTATTCCTACTACCTTGTGTGGATGCTGCACCTGCACACCGAGGCTCTGCAACTTCTGCATAAGTACAAACTTGGTCACAGGGATGAAAAGCGCGTTTCCCTTGATGGCTCAAGACAGTAACTCATCTGCGACATTGATGCTTTCTAAAGCCTAAGATCACAAGAACATCAGTAGGCCTTATTATGAATGCATGGTAGCTTACCTCGATGGTTGCATAGTGTGTATGGCGATGACCTCGATGAATTGGATCCTTCGCCTACGGTATCCACGATAATAATGTCATAACACCTGTTGTGAACAAGAGCAAGAGCAGCTATGAGACCTGCGGGGCCTGTACCCACAATAAGCACAGTTGTGTTCTTGGGGAGAGACATTGTCTGCTTGAAGGATTTTGAGAATGATAAAGTGACGGAGACGATGAATTAGCTTCAGATAGCTTTTGCACCTCTAATGAAAGGCCACCAGTATACTGGTCATCTTAACCCGTAGTAGTGAGGGATGATTTGCTATCGCACACGAACTGCAACTATCAGAAAATGGGGTCAATAACCAGACTGGACTCGGAGTGACTTAATTCATGCGCTGCCCAAATGTGGAGCTCAGTCGGGAACACGGCACTAAGATATCTTCCTTGTATTATCAGACTAATCAGTACATGTGTCGTAGTTAGCACATGGAGATTTCACAGACATACAATAGGTTCACAGTCCTGAGTGATTTCAGCATTATAGGAAGGGCTCTGGACCATTTCCCGCAAAGACACTAGTGGGAGTATTGACATCGAGATGCGAGGTCTTGTTACAAGTAACATCGGTCACGTGGCCCCCCTATCATTTTCCCTTCATCCTCGCCCTCACCATCTACCGGCTCGTCCTCCTTTACCGACTTTCCGTTGACCGGATCCTCAGGACCGTTCCCGTCCCTCGCATCACCCGCCTCTATGCACGTGCACGCACGTTCCTCTCTTGATTCGACCACCAATGTGGTCCCGCACCTCTGACTTGGTCTGACTCATGCCACCAATGTGGCTTTCCTATTTCTGTTCCCTCTGACTGCGGATTCCCGCACGTTGTATTCTTACCGTTGGTTCATTCCAACGTTTCTTGGTCTCATTCCACATTTGACCATCCATCACTAATCCGGCTGTGTTGCCAACGCACCTATACCATTCCCGTATCCCCTTTACCCTTACCTACTGTGCGGTAGCCTTGCCCTTAACTCTCTCCACTTAGTATAAGTAGTTGGTCACCCTGTACTAGATTCTCTAACTTGAATCTACTCAATCTTCCCTGGAACATACTTCCCTCTGAAGCCCCCTCAGCTTCAGTCTCTAGTATCTTTTCTTAGTCACTCATCGCGACTAAGTCTACCTCGATCGACCTCATCGTTCGGACAAGACAGTCCTTACCTTGAGCGACTTCTAAGACACCCGTCTCAGAAGTCACGTGACACGCGCGTACTGTGATCACTGCCGACTCGTCGTCGCCAGTATCACTTGCTATACCGGATCCTTCCGGTTACGTCACGAACGTTAGCGGACGACGCCCCTCTTAGGGCTCCGCCTAACAGATCTATTTGAGTGCGTAACAGGTCTTGTTTGACAATGTGAAAGCAAATTTAAAAATCAACGTCAAGATTGAATTTGGAAGGTCAAACTAGAATTAGACTCCGACTTCTTCTCATGATCATCTCTAATGGTGATTCACGATGATTCACTACTACTAAGTCCTTGGTCAGAAACAAAAATATAAAACCAAGAGCGTGATTTTTGTCCAATATGGTCCCCCATATGAGTGCAATGTGCTAATTCATATGTTGACCTCAGACAAAGGATTTGGATATTGGGCATTGGACATTGGACATCCAAGTTGGGCACTGTCCCAGTGCAATGTGCCGATTCATATTTCAATGTCAGAGTTGAATGTCAAATATCCTAATCCAATGTCCAAGGTCAATGTCCAAGGGCCAAGGTCCAATGTCCCAGTGTAATGTGCTGACTCATATTTTAATGTCCAATGTCCAAATCCAATGTCTGAGGTCAATGTCTAAGTCCAATGTCCAATGTCCAATGTCTGAGGTCAATGTCTAAGTCCAATGTCCAATGTCCAATGTCTGAGGTCAATGTCTAAGTCCAATGTCCAATGTCCAATGTCCAATGTCCAATGTCCAATGTCCAATGTCCAATGTCCAATGTCCAATGTCCAATGTCCAATGTCCAATGTCCAATGTCCAATGTCAAATGTCCAATGTCCAATGTCCAATGTCAAATGTCCAGTGTAGCACTCAGCCTCATGCTGAGTTCATATTCTGTGATTTCCCGATGCACGTCCAATGCCCACCACTTCCCAATGTAACCTGATACTAACCCACTCAAACCTGACGAAACCCAATGCTTTGACTAGTGGACCCGACATTTCAGCTGCATTGGCTGACCCAAAATCCTGTGCACTTGTCCTATCTGTGTCCTGTCCCATCTTGCTAGCCCCACTAGGTGCGTAGTTGATTATTTTGCACATTACTCACGTCATAGCCAGCGCTGTTACATGTTTTCCCATCATCCACAGTGCCTCGTGTTTGTTTACATGTACTTCAGATCCAAAATAGTCCACCACTACTTTCACCTATGGGTTTCTGGATTTCTACATACTTACATATATATTGGACTGACTTTGAGTATTATTCATCATCCAAGTAGTAGGAAACCATTTCCCGATACTTAGTGGTCAAACCTGATTTTTCATAGTTCTTAGTTGACATTGCAAATATTACCACTCTTTCTATCCAAAATACCCATCATTATCATTAATCCACATACCGCTCACTTTCCCAACATTTGCTATTAGTATTCCCTACAACCCGCTAACCCAAAAACATTGGACCCAATGCTTTGGCATCAGACATCATAGATATACCTTCAGACATTGTTTCCTGCACTCAGACTTTTGATCATATATTATTTCACTAACCATAGACCTATTCCAAACAGCTAACCTGTTGGGTCGAACACACTTGTCTTGCAAGTATAGCAGACCAGGCTGTGCAAGACCACAACACTTTTTATATTGCTGGTTACTTACTTCGTATAGTGCCCAGGAATTGTTGTATCATGACACTGGGTCCAATGCCCAATGCCCAAATCCAATGTCTGAGGTCAATGTCCAAGGTCAATATCTAATGTCTGAGTCCAATGTCCAATGCCCAAATTCAATGTCTGAGGTCAATGTCTAATGTCCAAGTCCAATGCCTAATGTCCAAATCCAATGTCTGAGGTCAATGTCTAATGTCCAATGTCCAAATACAATGTCCAATATCCAAATACAATGTCCAAGGTGAATGTCTAATGTCTGAGTCCAATGTTCGAGTTCAATGCCCAATGTCCAAATCCAATGTCCAAGGTCAATATTGAATGTCTGGGTCCAATGCCCAATGTCCAAATCCAATGTCCAAGGTCAATGTCTAATGTCCGAGTCCAATGCCTAATGTTTAAATCCAATGTCCAAGGTCAATGTCTAATGTCCAAGCCCAATGTCCAATGTCAAATTCTAATGTCCTTATTCAATGTTCAATGTCCTACATCAATGTCTGATTCCAATATCCAGGTTTAATGTCCAATATCCAATATTCAAATCCAATGTCCGATGTCCTAGGTCAATGTCTCAGTGCAATTTCCAATGTCCAAATCTGATGTTCAGTGCCCCACATCAACCTAGGACATAAAACATTGGATTTGGACATTGGAAATTGCACTGAGACATTGACCTTGGACATTGGACATTGGACATTGGATATTGGACATTGGACATTGGACATTGGACTTGGACATTGCAAATTTTACTTGAACATTGACCTGGGACATTGACCTGGGACATTAGACATTGCACTTGGACATTGAACTTGGACATTGAATTTAGACATCAGATATTGGATTTGGACATTAGACATTGCACTCAGACATTGAACATTGAACATAGACATTAATGTGGGACATTGACCATTGAATGTGAACATTGGAATTTGACATTGAACTTAGACATTGAATATTAGATTTGGATATTGGACATTGGACTCAGACATTGACCTAGGACATTGAACATTAGACTTGGACACTGAACATTAGATTAGGACATTGGAAATTGCACTCAGACATTGGACTTGGACATTGGATATTGTACTCAGACATTGGACATTGAACTTGGACATTGAAAATTAAACATTGGATTTGGACATTGGACATTGCACTCAGACATTAACCTGGGACATAAAACATTGGATTTAGACATTGGACTCAGTCATTAAACTGGACCATTGGACATTGAACTAAGATATTTACCTTGGAAATTGAACATTGACCTTGCACATTGGACTTGGACATTGAACATTGGATTTAGACATTGGACATTGGACTCTGACATTAGACATTGACCTTGGACATTAACCTTGGACATTCAATATTTAACTCAGACATTGGACATTAGACTCAGACATTGGACTTAGACATTAGACATTGACCTCGGACATTGAATTTGGACATTGGACATTGGACTTGGACATTAGATATTAACCTCAAACATTGGATTTGGACATTGAACATTGGACTCAGACATTGGACTCTGACATTAGATATTGACCTTGGACACTTAACATTTAACTCAGATATTGAACATTTACTCAGGAAGCAGTTGGACCTGATATATATTCTATGCAGATATAATTCAGATGTGCAAAGCATGGTTTCAGAGATGATCCTGCTATTAGATTAGCTACACAGATAACAAATCTACCTCCACAAAACTTATGTATCCAGTGTTGTATTAGAGGCAGCACTGTGTACCTCTCACTAGTCTAGTGCTTCAGGAATTTGCATTGTATGTGACATCTGTTAATTATATTCCACATATATGATCTGTCTCTACACTAATCTGGCCCAACTATTTTCTTATTTCTGCAGTGAGTACTATCTGTTGTGGTCTATTTGTGATAGGCCACCATTTTGTGATTTTTGTCTATAACACTCAATTTTAAAGTAATTGCTTATAATTAGCCACTTTACTGAGTATGTTCTACACACTACACTAACATATTCCAAGTGAAACAAAACAAATCTGTTGGGAAATGATAGATATCACATTTTCAGTGTGACAGCAGCAAAAATTACAAATTGGTGTCACCTGCCATGGCTGCCAACATTGGACATTAAATTTAACAGCAGCTGCAGTTTGTGACATCAGCAAACTGCCTATTTGGGCTACAAAGCTCCCACAGCCATACAGTGCGCACAGAGCCATACAGTATGCACAGCGGTGTAGTGCACAGACACCACAGACACTACAGACTCACAGAGACTCACAGAAACCTACAGACTTATATGCAGGTCCTTTCAAAAATTTAATTTAAACTGTGGGTGCTATGGCCATCATGTGGTATTTCATTCATAGTGCAATTTCTTATAACAGGTATATAATTGACATCAAAACTAATCTAATGTGTACACATTTGCAAAGGATTGCAAAGGTAAATACAATTTAAAATGAGATGAAAAAAAACATCATGATTCAGATACACCTGACCCTACTACTTTGGAACACAGACATTAGTCTAGTATACAAGTGCAAACCAATGACATACCAGGAAGGATGCCAGGTTTTGAATAATGAATTGAGCGCTCTGAACATTTAGAACTATTCCTTACCACCAGAGAGCGCACACGCCCTACATTCATTTCCATGTCACCAAATTGTTTTTTTGCTCTCTTGGCCTTGAGCTGCCAATAACGTGTATGGATCTGAAGCTGGAGGAGGAGCCGATCAGCGAGTTCCCTTTCAATACATCGAACTTCCACATCTGCCTGTGCCATCTCCAGCAAGTATGTGGCTTCCTCAGCACTCTCAGGATACGCTCCACTAAACGGCTACTAAAAGTCAGTGAATATATGTCTTGAACCCTAAATAAAGGATTCACCTTGTTGAGCATTCCTGGAAGTTCAGAAATGGTTGATGAGTCACTTGAATACTCGAAGTCCGGTAGAATTGGATGTAATTTTCTCCTACATCTAGAAGTCCGAGTCGAAGATGAGAAATTGTTTGTGAGGGAATGAGAATTCAGATGGATAGTGGGAGATGGAGAATGTAATTGGTCTGATGAGGACATTGTAGCTATTGTCGAAGTTACTCCAGAAATTGCTGAATATACTCAATACTCCAATCAATACTGCATATTGAGTAGCATGCGGTGCCCTTCATGTGGAAAACACTTTCTGAATGACAAAATTGTTCTACGACATCTAAATCAACCTACCTTGCAATGTTTCAGTTGGAATGATAACTTGATTCACTTCTCAGGACCACCAGTGCAACCCCAAGAACCTCAAGCCTCATTGCCAGAAGATGAAACAAATGACGCATGGATAATGGAAGACCATCCCAGGCCAGAAGATGGGGATACTGGTGTAAAGGCTGATGATAGGGAAGAAGTGGTGGTTTATGCTGGTATGGCAAAGACCTGGGGTAGAGGAACCACATTCATAAAGCTGTTTGAGTCTGACACTTATACTGAGGAGAGGGCGAGCAATCCATATTTTCCATTCACTGGAAAACAAGACTGGGAGATGGCGGCATTCCTTCTTCAGTCGGACCTCAGCATGGCAGACATTGACGAGTTCCTCAAGCTTGAATTTGTGAGTCTATTTGTGTTTGTTTACTATGGTTTCATGACTGGTGACCATGCTTGGGAACTTCAGGTACGTTCAACTCTCAACTTCTTCAGCAAAGCTAACCAATAATACAGGAAGATTTGCCTGATGGCGCGACCCTACTTGGTGTGGTGCTCTCCTCAGACAAGACCAAGGTCAGCAACCTTGCTGGCAACCACTATGCCCATCCGCTCCTCATCACTCTCGCCAATATTGACCCTGATGTACCTGCTAAAGGATCTCTCCAGGCATATATCCCTCTTGCTCTACTTCCTGTTGCAAAGTTTATCAATAGGGTTAAATGCATGCATGGTGTTCTGGCAGACCGGTTACTTCATCAATGCATTGATATTGTGATTGAACCGTTGAAGCAAGCTGCATGCCTGGGCATCATAATGAGTGATCTAGTGGGGTTTAGTAAATATTGTTTCACGCCCCTTGTTGCATATGTGGCCAATACTTTAGAGGAGCTCATCGCATGCATAACCATAAATGCATCACCCGTCACTATGGCTACACGTACCAACTTTGGGGATCCAGACTGTCAACCTCTTCATAAAGGCTCATATATGCTTGCTAATATTCAAAAAGTTGTCGCCTTTGTCTCACCATCCGACCTTGTGGCATTTTTTGAGGAGTGCAAGCAATACCACTTGAACAGTGTCCAATGGCCATTCTGGATGGATTGGGTCACCACAGATCCTTCTTCTTTCCTGATGCCAGAGTCGCTCCATCATTTTCACAAAATGTTCTTTGACCATGACTGTGCCTGGTGTATTGATGTAGTCGGTGCCAAAGAGATTGACTTTCGTTTTTCCTTACTTCAGATGTGTACCAGGTATTGTACTTTCAAAGAAGAGATCTCCAATTTGAAGCAGACTTCAGGTTGAGACCATCACAACATCCAGCATTATATTGTTGGCATTATCGCTGGTGCTGCTCCCACCCAATTCATAATGGCCATCCGGACCCTTCTTGAATTCAGATATCTTGTCCAAGCTCCACAATTTTCTGATGAAACACTAATGGAGTTGGATAACTGTCTTCGACTCTTCCATGAACATAAACAGGGTGTTGTTGATGCAGGTGCCTGGAGAGGGAAGGATGGCGGGTTTAAATCATGGGTAATTCCCAAATTAGAATTGCTGCAAGGGGTGGTGCCAAGTATCTGGTTGCTTGGCATACTCACGCAGTGGTCTGCAGATCCGACCAAACACACACATATCGCCATCGTGAAGGTGCCTGCAAGAGCTGGAAACAATCATGACTATGATGCGCAAGTGTGTCGCCACCTTGACCGTCGTGATAAAGTAGATTGCTTTGATCTTGCGCTTCACATACATGAACAGGAAGAATGTGCTATTGATGATGAAAGCGATGATGAGGACATCAATAGCAGGATGGTCCGATGTTCTATCAAGGACTATTTTTCATGTGCCTGTGAACTCATTGATGGCGATCATCCAGAGGCACCTTATCCCTATCGCACGTTCTCAACCTCTGTTGCAGCTTACCATCTTAGCTATAGACCCACCCTCACAAAGATGACTGTTGATACAGCTGCCGACCACTTCTTGCTTCCTGACCTTCACCCTGCAATATCCGATTATCTAGACCATATTGAGGCACACAATGACTTCCTATTGGTGGCAGGCACCGAGCTCACCCTGGTTGTCCCCTTCCTTTTGAACACATCTAAATCTGGTGTAAGATGCACATTCAATCAAAAAACTTCCATGATGCAAACCGACTCGAACCCTCACAGGCAATACTGGCAGAACCACCCTCAAAAAACTGGCCCTATGGTCTGTATGATTTGGTCCTGATCAATACAGACAAAATATCCAAATGGCCAAAGTGCAGTCTTGAAGGTCAGCCACTCCCGCTCCACGCATGATTTTACTGATATGATAGATGTAGGGCATTGTATCACTCAACTCCATTTGATTTTTCATCTGATCACACAACTTTCATATGGGAATGCATACTATGCCTACGTTGAATGTTTGGATGTGGTCAGATTAGATAAATTGACTGGTATGTATGTTCTATGATGTGGCTATCGAGCAAATGGTGATTGGATCGGTCATGTGATTAGAGTCATTTGAATCCAGGCATCCATCCATCTTATCCCTCGGTTTGGTGATGTAGCAGGGCCATGATTGACTGTGCTGACTAGTATCAATCACTCCACAGAATTTTTCTTAAACAAGTTCTGGAATAAGCAATTATTCTATGTGCTTTTTTTTATTGGGTGTCCATTATTACAAAAGGCAATGGGAGTCTCAGGCACCCCAGCAGTGCACATCCTCATCCCATTTTGCTTGACCTGTGAATCACTGTATGATGGTAGCAATTTTCAGATCTTCCACTGGCAGTTCACCATACTACTACACTCACGCAAGAAAAGCAGAAGTGAAGACCAAGGAGGATACAAATATGGCATCTAAACCCTCAACCACCACTGCTTGGTTGAAATCCAACTCTACTAGCAAATCAAAAGTGCAGTCTCTTGGTCCGGCTTCCAAGCCAATGCTTAGTAACCAGGCAGACATTGTCACAACATCTTGTAGGTGACTAGTTAATTATTAACTATCCATGATAATGACAGACTTTGGCTTCAGGCAAACCCAAGGAAGCTGAACATCTCACAACTGAGAGTCTGGTAAATAGTTTGAATAATGTCATTGTCTCAATAGGTCAACCTGATTTATTGTCGAACGAAACCGAATTTCTCACGATGATTGAACAGGCAATGTGCCGACACAATTATAGATGCACTTCAGCATGTACAAGTAGAGCTAATGTGTTTTTCGAATGTTTCTTTTCATGAATTTGGTGACCGTGCTTGACTGATTAGTGGGGAGATATGCACTTCTTGAAAGCAAAGTTAGTTTATAACATTGTGAATCTATGCATACCTAACCGAATGATGCAGGATGACATATTGTCCACGCACCATGGTCCTCATTATATACTACCCCCCCCACCTAGTTCATGATCAAACAACAAGCGAGATATCATCTGCAATCTCAGCGAGCTCGTTCCCTCTGTTCACGCAATCTCTGTTGATGGTTATGTCATACCTGGTCATATCTATTGGAGGATAATCTTCACTATCCGATAGCACTCACTTTAACCCCTACCACCTCAGAGGTGGCAGACTGAGGTGCTGTGGTACACAGAGACCCATTTTCTCAATCTAAATGTGTCGCCCT